ATCTTGTTTCGGAAGTTTGTAGCCCCGAGAAGCGAAAACAGCCGCACATATGCAGATCATGGAGCAGGCAATTTTCCGTCGTGGAGGTCCCTGACCAATCGCTCTCGCTTCACTCCCAGGCACTTTCCAGCATAATTGCGGGTCCGCGAACTCACAAATGACGTCTTTACATTGAAGAAAAAACCTCGTTTCGGACGTTTGTAGCTCCGAGAAGCGAAAACAGCTGCACCTGTGTAGATCATGGAGCAGACAATTTTCCGTCGTGGAGGTCCCTGACCAATCGATCTCGCTCCGAGAAGCGAAAATAGCTGCACCTGTGTAGATCATGGTGTCAGAATGCTATTATTGTCTAGCCTGCAGTGGGGTACTCTATAGTGAGTACAGCCCAATCTAGGGTTTGCTATTTGTACTCAACTGCCTGCTAGTTCAAGCCCTCTCTCCTTTCAATCATTCTTGCCTAGCTATTCTGAAATGGTATCAGAGCAGGTCGACCCTCCTGGGTCGATCCTGTGGGTGGGCCCACCACCTAAGCCTTCCGCTGCTACTGCTACTGCTACTGCGATGTGGTGGAAGTCGAAGCTGACAAGCCCCTGCTGCGACGTTCCACACGTGTCAACTTTGGCAAGCCTCGCGAGAAGCTGAGCTACCATGCTTGCTTGCCCCCTACCTCCTACAGCACGTTGCTTGATGATGCGCAGGACGACGTCGATCTGCCCGAGATTGACCCTGACGTGCACGCTGACCCAGAGCATCGCTGGGACATCGCGACGATGACAGTGAAGGAGGCCCTGGCGAGCTGGAAAGGCCAGGCAGTGAAGGCGGCGATGGACGAGGAGATTCGCAGCCTCATTGCCAACGGCACATGGGAGCTGGTCGAACGTCCGCGCGGGGTGAACATCATGAAGAACCGGTGGGTGCTGACGACGAAGTACCACATCGATGATACGGTCGCTCGTGAGAAGGCACGTTTGGTCGTCAAGGGCTTCACGCAGGTATATGGCGCCGACTACGAAGAGACGTACGCACCGGTTAGCAGCTACGTCACGCTGAGGATCTTCCTCAGCATCGTCGCTGTCCAGGACTTGCACCTGATGCAGCTTGACATGAAGAATGCGTTCCTGCAGAGTAAGCTGGACAGGGTGCTGTACATGTACCAACCAGACTACTATGACGATGGAACTGGCAGGGTGTGCAAGCTGTTGAAAAGCCTCTACGGACTGAAGCAGTCACCACTGCTGTGGTACAGGGCCCTCGACGGAGTGCTGCTGGGCGCTGGCTGGAAGAAGAGCCAGGTCGACGAGGCTCTCTACTTCAAGGAAGCTGACGGAGGAGTGATGTGCTGGGTGCTCGTCTACGTCGACGACCTCCTCGCCGCCAGCAGCAGCCTCGCGATGCTGAAGGAGCTGAAGGAGCTGTTGGAGGCTGCCTTTGAGCTGCGCGAGATCAGCCCGGTCGAGAGGTACCTTGGGCTGGAAATCGTTCGCGACAGGTCGGCAAGGAAGCTGTGGCTGCACCAGCAGTCGTACGTCGACAAGCTGCGTCGGCGCTTCATCGACGAGGAGCAGACCGGGCGTATCCCAAAGACACCAGTCTCCGTCGACGCCTATGCGGAGCTTACATTCGATGACGAAGATGCTCAGGCGCGCGAGGAGGAGGAGTACAGGCAGAAGGTCGGCTCGCTGCAGTTCGCAGCGACGACGACGAGGCCGGACATCGCGTTCGCGTGCAGCAAGCTGGGGAGCGGCCTGACAGTGCGGAGTGACAACCACTGGCGCGAGGTCGATCGCTGCCTGCACTACCTCGCCGACACCCGTGACACCGCTTTGGAGTTTGGTGGTGGACCAGATTCACTGTGCCTGGTCGGCTACGTGGACGCAGACGATGCAGGCGACAAGCAGAACCGGACGAGCACGGGTGGCTATGTGTTCGTCTTCGGAGGGGCCGCAGTTTCCTGGTCGAGCCAGCGCATCAAGTGCGCGACACTCTCCTCGACAGAGCCAGAGTACGTTGCGGCCACGGAATCTGGCAAGGAGGCTCGTCGACTTCGCTTCCTCCTTGCAGAGTTCAAGCTGCTCGACCCTGGGAAGCCGACTGTCCTTCGTGTGGACAACCAGTCGACCATCACTGTCACGGAAGGCTTGGGGCTGAAGGGCAACCTCAAGCATATGGAGCGACGCTATGCTTGGTTGCAGCAGATGGTCAAGCGTGGGAAGATTGCGCTAAAGTACATTCCCACCTCTGAGCAGCCAGCTGACTTCCTGACGAAGGGGCTGCACTTTCCGGCCTTCAACCGGTGCTCCGTCGCGATCGGCCAAGTTCGTCTGGCAGACGTTGGCGACGGTGACGATGATGTGCAGCAGTAGGTGCCGTGCCCTTCTGCACGGCTGGTGCGGTGATCGACGTGCTGTGTGTTGTGTGCACGCCGAAGCATTTTTCCCGTGTATTATAGCCCTTGGGTTCTGGGTGGACCTGGTGTGTGGGGTGCCCAAGCGTGAGCGCGGCAGGGGAGTGTTGAAGGAAATTGGCCCCGCCCTCGCATGGGCAAATTGACTTGGCCCCGCCCTCGCATGGGCAAATTGACTTGTGGTCGGGTGTGTGGGAGGTGCAGCCGACCTTCCGCAGAGGTCGGCAAAGGTGGTCGTCGACCTGCGCGGAACCACTGTGACTTCGTCGACAAAGGAGTTCGACGAAGGAGTTCAACGAGGATGGTCGACGAAGCAGTTCGTCGACCAGAGTGGCGCAGCTGGTGCAGAAGTTCGCGGGTGTCCGTCTGCGCAGGGTCGCGTTTGACCCTGCGCAACATTGAGACTGCACAGGCGAATTTTGGCCAGAAATTCGAATGTGCCCTAATTTCGACCAATCAGGGGCTGACATTTTGAAATGTCGACCGAGGTGCTCGACGAAGGTGCTCGACGAAGGTCGTCGAGCCCCGACGACGAAGGTCGTCAACCCGCGACGACGAAGGTCGTCAACCGGTGATGTCGAAGGTCGTCATCCTGCAGAGATGTCAGGTACCTTACCTGGTTGACCAAGTTACCTGCTCGACGAGGTGCGCGAAGGTGTGCGAACGTCGTCGAGGCTGCTGTGGCGAAGTCGACCGACGTGGCAACATGTGGTCGACGTGGCTCATCATGTGCAACCGTCAGCATGTGGCTGACAACCTGCGCAATGTACTTGACAGTGCACGTTGTGCATAACTGTCTACAAGCACCTGCGAAGTAGGTGCTTGCACATGCGCTTACAATCACCTGCGGATGCAATGTTGGCAAGCCGCGCGGATGCTGCGTTGGCAAGCCGCGCGGGAGCAGCGTTGGCAGGCCGCCATCTGCAGCGTTGGCAAGTCGCGTACGAGCTGCGTTGGCGGATCGCGGACTTGCTTCGTTGGCAGGTCGACGACTTTGTCGTGCTGGCAGTCGACCTGCCTGAGTGCTAGCAAACCTTGCATGTGATGTAGTCAATCTTTGCCATTGCATGTTCATTCTGAACTCTGTTATTCTCAAATTTCCTTAGTGAAACTTTTGCTGTTTTGCCCTGTGAAAACACAAGTCCTAGAGAACACAGACAGAGCTATGATCACTCCTACAACCAGTGCCCATCCTATAGTCTAGCTCCCACCGTTGTAGAGTTTATCTCCTCATGGTGCGGTGAGCGTGGACGGCCCCGCAAGGATACCTTCAGATAGGAGCCAACTTTTGCACCTACTAAGTCGTTCGTAGGCCGGCAGCAGCGTTAGTCACCATGGTCAACCCCGTTGTAGAAGCGGGTGTAGCGGACACCTTGGAGACACGACTAGCTAATGCAAGGAGACGCCATGAGGCTGGCGAGTACGGGACGATCCCCTTGGAGATCGTCGAGTTGGGCATCCGGGCGCAGTGGGCGACGGAGCACCCTTCCCGTCCTGCATCTCCTCGACCGGCACGCAACGAAGGAGGCGTCGACGAGGAGGTCGACGGCGGTGCACGAGTCCGTGGCAACGAGGGCACGAGGCAGATAGGAGTGCTCAGGTCTGCCGACGGTGGTGTTGGCGGGAGTCAAGCGCGAGTGCAGCGGTCGACGGCGGCTGCAGGCAACTCGCGTGTCGACGTTGATGGTCGACGACGCTCTCCTCAACGAAGCAGTGGAAGTCCCTCGGCGACAACGCATGTGACGGCTGGCGGGATCGCGCCAACGTATGGCTACTTCAAGTTTCCGCCGGACAAGATCACCGTCACACCGTTGCAAGGTCGACGTGACCTCATCACCTGGAGGGAGTCGATTGAACCTCAGCTGGAGGTCGCCGGGCTGAAAGGCTTTGCCGACGGTACTGTGCCAATTCCGCACGAGGACGATGTCGAGCTGCGCGGGGAGTTTCGTGCTGCTCACTTGCTCACCTTCATGGTCATCTCGAGGTGCTGCTCGCCGGTGGTGCAGCTAGCACTCAGGAGCTGTCGAGAGCGTCTGGATGCTGGTCACCAAGCATGGCACTACATCATGACGACGTACCAGGCGAAGGACGACCTGTACATCGGACAGCTAGAGGAGAAGATGACACATCTTCGGATGGGTGAGGGGCAGTCGGCAACGGACTACTGCAACCGTGCTCGACGGATACTGGCCGAAATGCGGATGGCGGGCGCCGAATACTCCACGGCGTCCTACATCACCCACGTCGTCAAGGGCCTGCCGCGTAGCTACAACCTCATGAAGAGGATGATGATGGTGCCTGGCACGCGGGAGTCACTCGACGAGGACTCAATCACCAGCTACATCCTTCAAGATGAGGCTATGCAGGAGGCAGAGCAGCCCACGGAGCTCCTTCCGCAGGCGAGTTACGCTGCACCGACGAAGCAGAATCGTCCGCAGGGGCAGCGAGGAAAGTCTGGCGGAGGTGGTAGCGGAGGTGGGAGGTCGGCCCCCGCTGCATTGACGATCGGGTCATGCATCTCCAATGTACCGCAGCCTTTAGGTGTATTTGAACAACAACCTACTCTCACGATGTGCTTACGCTGAAGTGCAGAAGGATGTGTAGCTCTGTATCTAAGTGCTGAAATCGGACTCAACCCGGAAAATTAAGGGCTGAAATTAGGCCACCTCAGCCCGCTAAGTTCTGGGCCCAGGGCGAGCGACAGCCCTGCTTGGAGCTATCTCTTCAGCTTCTTTGAGCATTTTGTTTTGCCACGCTGCTCGGGAAGCGTTGCTTTCATATCAACTTTTTTGCCTTGGGAATCCTGGACTGCGAGAGGTTGTAAAGGCGGGTGTAGCTGCCTGTCGCGCTTGTCACGACGCGCAGTGGCTAGTCTCAAGTAAAGCATCTAAAGCATTCCGATTCGAGCTTTGCCACGTGGCCGTCACGATGCGGTGCCACTACGAGGTTCTGAGCGTGGATCGCTCCGCATCGGCGGACGAGATCAAATCCGCGTATCGCAAGCTCGCGTTACAGTGGCACCCCGATAAGAATCAGAGCAATGTCGAGCACGCTACAGCGATGTTCAAGCAGATCCAAAGCGCGTACGAAGTGCTAAGCGATAAGCACGAGCGAGCGTGGTACGACAGCCATCGCGACTCGATCCTTCGCGGCGACACGCACCACGACGGCGGAAACACCGACGAAGACGAAGACGAAGATCTGTGGGGTTACTTCTCCGCCTCCGCGTACTCTGGTTACGGCGACACTGGCGAAGGGTTTTACGCAGTGTATGCGAAAATCTTCGACGAGATTTTTGAGAAGGAGTTCGCAGCGGCTCGGCGCGCGGCGCAGAAGGGGGAGGAGGTGGACATGTCGGCGCCGCCGTTCGGCAAGAGGGACAGCTCAGCTGCTGACGTGTCAGCGTTCTTCAAGTACTGGCAGTCGTTCGTGAGCGTGCGCGACTTCGCGTGGAAGGATCAGTACAATCTGGCCGAGGCGCCCAATCGACGGGTGAGATTTGCCGACGATTCGGGGATATCTGGGGGATCAGGGTTCGGGCTTCCGGGTGCAAGCGCGGGGCAGTGTGAGGCTGTTGGAATTATGTGCGAGACAGGGCTTTGGGTTCAGGGTGCAGGTTGGAATCATGGGCATTGGGTGTACGCTATTGAAATTCCATGTGACCTGTGACCTGTGCCGCTCTTCCCTCCCGCCCCATCCTTTCCATGTATGCCACGTGTGCCACGTGTGCTGCACACGTGCAGGTGCGGCGGCTGATGGAGGAGGAGAACGCGAAGCTTCGGAGGAAGGCGAAGCGCGAGTTCAACGAGGCGGTTCGCCAGCTTGCGGCGTTCGTGAAGAAGCGCGACCCGCGCGTGAAGGAGCAGCAGGCGGAGGCGCGGCGCGTGGCGGCGGAGCGCGAGGCGGAGGCGAAGCGGCGGAGGGAGGAGGAGCGGAGAGAGAAGGCGCGGCGCGCGCAGGAGTATGAAGACCCGGAGTGGGCGCGGGGGGAGGGGGAGGGGGAGGAGGGGGAGGAGGAGGATGAGGATGAGGAGGGGGATGGTGTGGAGGGGCGCGGAGAGGGGGCGGGGAGGCGGAAGGGGAGGAAGGCGGGAAGGGTGGAGGAGGAAGATGACGATTGGTTTGGGGAGACTAAGAAGGGAGGACGGAAGGGGAAGGGGAAAGGGAAAGGAGGTGCAGGGGCAGGGGTGGGGGCAGATGGGTCTGAAGCCGTGGGAAATGGGCGGGGCGACGGGCAGGGTTCGGAGAGAGGCGGAGGAAAGAAGAAAAAGAAGAAGGGCAGGCAGGGGGGCGCACACACGGGAGGAGGCACGCATGGGGGAGCGCATGGGAATGAGGATGGGGAAGGGGAGGGGGAGCTGGGTGAGGCGGGGTTGGATGACGCGTACTGCGTGGTGTGCAGCAAGGCGTTTAGGAGCGCGCAGCAGCTGGGGAACCACGAGCGCAGCAAGAAGCACCTGGCGCGCCTGGCGCAGCTCAGGGCGGAACTGCTGGCGGACGAGCTGGCAGAGAGCGCGGGGGAGGGGGAGGGGGAGGGGGAGGAGGGAGAGGAGGTGGAGGAAGTGGAGATGAGAGAGGGGAAGGAAGGAGATGGGGATGGGGATGAGGAAGCGGTTGGTAGGGAAGAGAGTGAAGAGGACGAGAGGGAGGAGGGAGAGGTGGAGGAGGAAGAAGGGGAGGGGCTTGATGGAATAAGAGGGGTGGAGGACGGTGGAGCAGGAGAGGAGGATGAAGAGGAGGAGGAGGAGGAAGAGGAGGAGGAGGAAGAGGAGGAAGAGGAGGAAGAGGAGGAGGAGGAGGAAGAGGAGGAGGAGGAAGAGGAGGAAGAGGAGGAAGAGGAGGAGGAGGAGGAGGAGGAGGAGGCAGGTGAGATGGATGAGGAGGAGGAGATGGCAATGCTGGCAGCGATGCTGGCTCGACAGCAGATGGCTGAAAAGAAAAAGAGGAAAGAGAAGGCGAAGAAGAAAGAGGAGCAGGAGGAGCAGGAGGAGCAGGAGGAGCAGGCAGCAGAGGCAGCAACAGGGGGCGGGAGCAGGGAAGCATCAGCAGCAGCTGAGGCAGATGCAAGGGAGGCACTACAGAGTGGCGGCAAGGGGAATGCGACTTGTGATGCTCCAGCTGCTGCCCAGGGCTTGCATGATGCGGCGGATGGGGTGGCAGCAGAGAGAGACGGGCAGGGGGCAGCAGCAGGTGACAATAGTGAAGGGGACAGCAGGGAGGGCGGTGGGAAGGAGGGGAGGGAGAGTGAGGGAGCAGGGGAGAGAGGCGAAGAGGGGGAGGATGAGGAGGAGGGAGTAACAAAGGGGAAGGGGAAGAAGGGGAGGCGGAGAGCCGCAAAGGGTGTGGGGGGAAAGGGCGGAGTTTCAGGGGGGAATGGGGCAGTGGGGGACTCGAGCGGGCCGAAAGCGAGCCTTGGTGGGGGAGGGGTTGTTAGCGGTTGTGCGGAGGACGGCGGGGGAGAGAAGGGGGGGAGGGGCGGGAGGGGCAGCAAGAAGGAGAGAAGAAAAGGGAAGAACGCGGAGGTGAGTCATGAGTCCGTGAGTCGTGAGTCATGGAGCTCTAGGGCCAGAAGGAGGGGGTGGGGCTGTGCAGAGCATTGAGAGGCTGGCAAAGAGATCACATCACATCACAGAAGTGATTCAAGTTCTTTCTATGGTGCCAGTCGCTCGCCAGCCTATGCCTGCCGTGCTGCCTCCTGCTGCCACTGACTCACATGTGCCCCTTGCCCTTGTGCTCGCTGTTGGTGTGCGTGTGTCTGTATGCAGCCATCACTGGCCTGTGGAGTGTGTGGTCTCGAGTTCGATTCCAGGTGAGCTTAAATTTTTATCCTAATTGTGCCGTTGTGGGAGTCATCACGCTCTGCGACATCGCATCTGCCACCTACCTGCCTCTTCCTCCTCTCCTCATGGATTTTTAATTCTCCCTCTCATCACCTCTCCCCATGCTCACGAGTCACAACCTGCCCATCCCTTCCCCCTTCCCCTCTATTGCCAGGAACCAACTGTTCAAGCACATAGCAACCAAGGGGCATGCACAGCTCAAGACGTGACTGCTGCCACTGGGCCATGTGGATGGGTGGGGTGAACCTGGTCACAGGGGACACCTTCCGAGGCAGTTCACAAGCTGCCCAAAAACGAGGGTTTGAGGCGCCTCAATAACAGGCACATGCAGTAGTATGCAAAGGCCGTGCACAGCTCACACGGCCTGGGGTCATGGGTGGCTGGTCAGAGTGACTGCAGGCGCATGAGGTGCGAGTCTTGGTGGGTCTGCGGATGGGGCTGCCAGGCCCACCATCCACAGGCTGTCAGCCTTATATTGTCTTTCTAGTACCTAGTCTCAGTCCAAAAGCTGTTGAAGTATGTACGGTAGCTGTGCAAGTTTCAGCTAAGTTCAGCGGATGCTTAGCCTCTTGTGTGGCACTGGACAGAACGCAGCACTCGCACTGCCATCCATTGCCCATTCTCGACCTGCAGCTGACCATTTGAGCATGTGCTGACTCTAGTACCGTACTTTTTTTTTTCTGAGAATCACCTGCCTGGGCTGGGTGCTTCAAAGTTGGTGAAATACCGTGGGAAAAGCTTGCCCTAAGAATCTTCAAAAGTAACCAAAAGTGTAGAAAATGGCATGGACTCAGCAAGAGTGAGGAATGGGCCATGGCTCATTTGATGAGTGGCACAAGGCAATAGGGTAGATTTTTGGAGGCGCCTCAAGGGCCTTGCGTCATTTAGCAAGCGGCACTAGGCAGTCGTATACGGCAGCCATGCGCGCTGCTAACAGCTGCCGGCCCTGCATGTCCATATGGGGGCTTGCTATATCGAGTATGTCCTGCTGCAGGCTGGTGTGATGGTACAACAGGGGGTGGGAGGGAGCAGCAGAGAGGACAGTGGGACAGTTATATGTGGTGACTTGTCAGCAGCAAGACAGCATAGCACCATGGCAGCATGGCAGCACGGGTGTCAGGTGCATGGGTGCATGGGAGGGAACATGGCATCAGTAATTCAGCACATCATCGGTACATGCCAACTTAGACTCACCGTGGCCACTCGCCCTCCTTGCTGGCCTGTCGTTGCACCACCACATACAGCCGATGGAGCGTCGGATCATGGCAGCACAGCATCACTAAAGCAGCACAGCATGGATACATGCCAACTAATACTCACCGTGACCACTCGCCGCCCTTGCTGGCCTGCCGTTGCACCGCCACATATAGCCGGTGCAGTAGATACACCAACGTGCCGTGCCACGCTGCCACGTCATACACTGATGCCACGTCACTCGCTGATGCTGCCACGTCATCACACGGCGCTGAGCTGGGTGTGGGAGTCGACACCGACGTTGATCCGGGATCTGGTGCTGCTGCTGACGTGGAGGGCACTGCTGACGTGGATTCTAAAGATTGGGCTGGTGGTAACGCCTTGGACGATGCTGACATCCTCAGGTGGTTACGCAGCAACACGTGTCGTTCCACGTCAGCGAGTAGCATCCGTCGTCTTGTCTGCGCCACCCGGCCTTTTCCTTCCACACCCCGAGCCTGATGGGTATGGGCGTAGGCATGGGTGTGGGCATGGATGGAGGATGGACATTAGGTCAGAAGTGAAGGAGCAGAGGGCCCACCACACAAGACAGCTTCAGGTGGGAAACGAAGCAGGAAGCAACGAAAGTTACTCTGCTGGCCACAAGTCAACTCCAGTCAACTGGAGTCAACCGGAGTGAAGTCCACTTGCCTTTGAGACGGAGAAGTCACGGGAGAGGGAGAAGAGCCCAGAGAGCAGCAGAAGGGCGACTTTTGAGTCGCCTCAAAAATCAGCTCAAGTCAACTAAGTTCAACTGAACTCCGTATACCTTTGAGACGGAGAAGTCACGGGAGAGGGAGAAGAGGCCAGAGAGCAGCAGCAGGGCAGGCAGTGCGGTGAGCAGAGCGAAGTTGATCTGATTTGCCCTCAGTATCTGCTCCAACTCCAACATGGCCCTGTTTCACGGGACGAGAGAGGAAAAAGGGGGATAAGACGAGGGTGAGCAGGACGAAGTTGAATCGATTGCAGGGGGGAGGGGAAGGAGTGGCAGAGGAGCAGGGGAGGAAGAGGGCACAATTGGCGGAAGGAGCAGGGGAGGAAGAGGGCACAATTGGCGTAAGGAGCAAAATGCGGAAGGGGCAGAAAGACATGACAGCAACAGGACGCGTGCGAGTATGTGAATGTGTTGTTAGGTAGAGTGATTAAGGCAGGGGGCAGGTGCAACAGGCAATGGAATACGCGTGAGGGGTACGGGTTCGGAGGGGGGAGAAGAGACAAAGAGAAAGTACAAGCAGCGTGAATGTGGAGCACGGAGCAGGGGAGTGAAAAGGATAGGGGGAAATTCGGAGGAGGAGTGGTGATGGCAAGAGATTGGGAGCATACGTTTCAATGTGCAGCTTCATTCTTTGAACCTGGACAGAGGCGAGAGGACAGGGGAGAGGGAGGGGTGAACAGCAGATACATTCAGTGAACCTGGATGAATCACGCAGGGCTGGCATGAGTGGCGGCGAAAATGAGGCCATAAGTGCGCATGTGGGGGTTGCCCTAAACCTTAAAAGTCATCTGAGCGCTCACTAAATATTCACCTGGATAAGCAGGGCCTCGGCTAGCCTCCCTGTGAGGAGGTGCGTGAGAGGGTTAGCCATGTCCTTCTCGTATTCACGCATCACCACTGCCATCAGATCCGACTCTGATGGCACTCCTGCTCCCACTGATGCATCTGCTGCACCTGTAGTGCCGCTGCCACTGCTGCCGCAGGTGCCGCCACTGGTGTTGCTGCTGCTGCTGCTGCTGCTGCTGTCGATGGCTAGTGGCTGGGTTTTCTCAACAAAGGTCAGCAGCATTCTGCAAGGCCACGGGGAATAGCGCGGCAGGGCAGGGACAGAAGCATAGTCTGATAGGTGTGGCAAGCAGCGCAGCGAAGGGTTCACTCCTTTTGACCTCAGACTGAGTTTGGCGCAGCAGCGTGTTTCACGTTGCTGACAGCACTTGATTTCATTGAATTGGCTCTGCTGCACATCGTGCATGGACAATCTGCCCAGATAATTCAAATCATTGACTTGCTTGACCCTCACCTCACGTGCATGGGCACGTTGCCCAAATGATTCACTCTGTTGACTTGCTTGACTTGCTTGACTTGATTGACTTGCTTGACTCTCACCTCCTAAGCGAATCAGTGGACGCTTGCACGTCATGCATGGACACGTTGCCTCTCTGCTGGTCGCTGAACGTGTGAAAGAGCTCTGCACTGATTGCTGACAGCTGGGAGGGTTGAGAATAGGAGCAGGCGCGAGCAGGGGAGTGGGTTGGAATGAGGAGGAAGTGAGGCGTGTGGTTAGTGAGGGGGGATAATGGCTACAAAACACACGGGTGATGATAAAAGCTGACAATGCTTACCGGTTGCCATATGTGGTCAGTGACAAACCCCGTCACCGCTCTCCACCCATCTGCAGCCCACCTGCCCACGGGACACACGGATGTGCAAGGCAAGATGGGTGGGTTGCAGTTGCAAGTGAGAGCCCAGGCAGCCAAAGCAGCAGCTTTGCGGGTGATGCTTTGCGTCAACTCAAAGCAGCGGACGTGCGGGTGACTACAGGTCTTTGACTGCGATCCTGCCTCACTAGCTGCCACGCATCTTTCAACTGTCTTTAACTGCGGATCGTACTGCCTCACCCATCAACCATTAACCATCTACCGCCCATCAATATGCTTTCTCCCTCCATCCATGTCCCCATTATCATCAGCAGCAGCCCACCGGTCCAGGTCATCACTGCCGTTCAGCCGGCTGTGCCGCACCACCCAGCTGCCCACCGCCACGCCACACAACCCCCCAGCTAGGTACTCCAGCCAGTGCCGTGCCGCGTGCCTCGGCCTATGACAACGCGCCACCTGGACAGGGAACAGTGGGGCAGGAGAGAGGGGTGAGTGAGAAGGGGTGTGATGGAGGAGAGACGGCAATGCAAGTAATCTTGGGCGTCACCCACCCCAGAAGCACCCACCCCAGAAGCACCCACCCCAGAAGCACCCACCCGAGCAGCCAACCACCCCAGTTCCCACACCATCAGTTCGCACCCCATCAATTTCACCCCATCAATCCGCACCCCATCAGTCCGCACCCCATCAGTTCGCACCCCATCAGTCCGCACCCCATCAGTTCGCACCCCATCAGTTCGCACCCCATCAGTCCGCACCCCATCAGTTCGCACCCCATCAGTTCGCACCCCATCAGTTCGCACCCCATCAGTTCGCACCCCATCAGTTCGCACCCCATCAGTTCGCACCCCATCAGTTCGCACCCCATCAGTTCGCACCCCATCAGTTTGCACCCCATCAGTTCGCACCCCATCAGTTTGCACCCCATCAGTTCGCACCCCATCAGTTCGCACCCCAGCCGGCACCCACCATAGCAGAGACCAGTTTCTCCAGACTCTTCACATCCTCGTTAAGCTGCTTTGCCTCACCACACACTGTTTCCCGTGTTACCACTGCAGCAGCAGGCACTGCTCTTTGTGTTGAAACACTCAGCCCACTGCCATCTGCTGCTACCCCGGCACCACCCAACTCTCCTCCTGCCTTGTTACTGACTGCTTCGTTACAAGCACCACTACTCTCCACCGTCCCCTCCCGCCCCCCTGGTGCTGAGGTGGGCTTCTCCCCGTCGATCCCTGAGGCCTGTGTGACTGCCACGTGGCAGGCGTGTAGGACAGTGGAGAGCAGAGCGAGGGGGTCGGGAAGAGATGTGCTCGTGATGCTGCTGCTGCTGCTGCTGCTACTGCTACTGCTGCTGCTGCTGCTGCTGCTGCTGCTGCTGCTGCTGCTGCTGCTGGTGGCGGTGGTGAGGGCAGAGAGGGCGGGGGAAGATGGGGCAGGGATTACAGCTGACGATAGGTAGACCTGTGGCAGAGGGGAGGTGAGGAGAGAAGCAGACGGAGTGGGGAGATGAGGCACTGCGCTTGCCATGCCCACAACAACCAGCTTTGCACAAACCCCCATTACATGTATCCCCTTATTGAATCATATCATCCCTTCACCACCGTTGGTGCAATACAATATAACCACGCGAACCATATCCCCCCACCCCCACGCCTCTTTCCTCTTTTTTCCCCTGCTCACCCCCCTTCCCCCACTCCCCAACCCTCGCTTCCCACTCACCTGACCAGCAGCGGCGCTCAGCGCCAGTTGCACCTCCCCCAGAACCGCCACTTTCTCTGCCACCATCTCCCGAACCAAGCCCTGCAGGCTCGGCGCTGCCAGGCCTAGCAGCAGCCCCTCTGCTGACGCAACGCTTGGCAAAAACGACCTCAAGCGGTGCAGATGGACAAAGAAAAAGGGTTTGAGATTGAGGGCTTTCAAGTAGAGGTTTAAGGTTTTGGAACCGAATGTTCTTAGATCTGAGATAAGATTTTGCAGGGGTTTCGGGGGGTGAGGGAGGGTGGAGAGGGGGAGGAGGGGGGCGGTTTGTAGGGAGAGCCAGAGGGCAGAGAGGAAGCGATAGAGAGGCGCTAAGAGAGTGGCGAGGCGAGTGAGGAACGGGGAGAGCGGCTGCTTGACACGTGTCACAATGCGATTTGCTGAGACTGAGGAGGTTTGGGGAGAGCTGGGCTGGACGAGGTTAGAGGAAGGAGAGGCGGGAGCAGAGCGGGAGGAGGAGGCGGAAGCGGGGAGGGTGGGAGAGGGGAGGAGAGGGAGGAGGTATCGGTTGGCGGCGGAAAGAGCGAGTGAGAGAGAGAGCGAGAGGGACGTGTGGAGGAAGGCGAGCGGGCCGCGTCGGAAGAGCACGATCCAGAGCTGCTGCGCGGGCGACGCGAGGGCGAGGCGGCGCCAGAAGGAGAGGTGCTTGTCGATGGAGCGCATCATGAGGAGTAGCCGTTGCCCCGCCTGGTTCACCGCCGCCACTGCCGCATCCACCGCCGCCTCGCTCCCCTCTACTGTGCCCACCCCCACTGCTCTCTCTGCTACCTCTGTTCCAGCTCCTGCTGTACCTCCGTCCCCTACCTCTACTCCCACTTCCCCGCCCTCTCTTCCCTCTCCATCCTTCTGTGCTCGCTCCCTCGCTGACTCCCCCTCTGCACCTGCCACTCCGTCCCCTGCGCTCTCCGCTGCGTTCTCATGCTGCTCCTCCTCCTGCTGCTGCTCCTGCTGCTGCTCCTGCTGCTCCTGCTGCTGCTCCTGTTGACGTTGCTCATCTTCCTGCTTCTGCAAGGCAATCGCGTACGCGTTTCGTCGCGCCTGCCACGTCCGCAGCCTCTGCTGCTGCTGCCACGTCAGCAGCTGCTGGTGTGCGGCCGGCGGTATAACCGGGATCGTGATCTTTTGCGCTCTGCCGGACGGCTTTAATAGCGCGCGGAGACCCAGCGCGACAGGCCCAACTAACGCGACAGCACCGGCGGCCAGCGACCGGACACGTGGTTCCGAGAATGCATCCCCGATATAGTCACTCTGAATGTAGCTACTCATTATGGAAGTCGAACTACTAGATCTGCTGTCCATGGCGCTGAATTCGCTCGATCCAGTCGCAGAGGAAGGCATTGCGACGGTACGTCCGTCGCCACGGTGACTTCATCCCCGTCAAAGACGGTTCGATTTAAACGGAAGCTGATGGACTCAACCATGACTTTCATCACTAGCAGCAGGATTCGGTATGGCCTTGTCCCACCTGATGCCCCCTCATCATGTGAAGGGATCAAAAAGGAAATTTGCAAGGTCCGAATTTAGCAAGTCTCGATGTTGGGTTGGGTGATGTGCAGTTATTGAAATGGTGGTGCTAGGCGCTCATCTAAAGCAACCATTATTATCATTAAAGTGTAGAACACATATGTAATTATTATTGATAGTATACAAGTCCAATAGGTAAATGTATCACATACAGACCCAATAAAAATACATGCGCTTGCACCTGAGCCCCGGTTCACTTATTGCGGCACAAAAAAAATACAGAATTTCACCGTGGAGTGCCAATCACTATCAGGTGACTGGTGCCGGAGCGATCGAAATGAGCTTGGATTGGCGAAGCCTAGTGCAGGGAACTCTAGCCGGAGTGAGCTGCGCAGGAGCAAGCTTCACAAACTTGCCAGCAGAAGGCTTCCGGCCAACCCGCTTTTTTCCACCAGCGGGCGGGTTAAAATTCACATCGGGCAGGCACTGGACAGCAGGCCACTCCCCCAGGGAAAACGCATTTATGCCTTGATAGAGTGGAAGCTTGTGGTTGTAACCGGTGGAGTATGGTGCCAAGGCATGAACAGCTTTGGCACAGATAACCCCTGGTATCACCACGTGGCTATCCAGGGATGGAGAAGCGGGTGTGCTGTTGTGACTGCAGGTAACCATGCCAGTTGCATGAGCACCCATGAATTGCTCTGCCTGTGCTGTGCTCTGTGCCAGGCGCCGCGTCTTTCGGATGCGAGCAGCAATCTCCGATGCAACAACATGGGACGGCATGGCACTGGGGCTCAAACAGGCGCCAGGGAGAGTCAAGGAGGAAATGAGCGGGTGGCTGTCAAGCGAGTGGGCCTTCACAACTGCTGCCAGTGGCACCGGATCTGACACCGCCTCGTTTGCTGCACTGTGGGAGCGTGCGAGAGGCAATTCCCCTGTGCTCGTGCTGTGAGTCGAGGGCTTCACCAGTAGCCGCCGCTGCTTGGGCGGAACGGCCCGCAGAGGAGTCATATCGGCTGTTCCCGCTGATGCTGCTGGTGATGCTGTTGTTGCTTTCTCGCCTCCCCAAGCCACTGCTCGTGCTGCTGGCGATGCCGCTGGAGGGAAGAATGCTGCTGAGGGCGAAGGCAGCTTGAAGACCCGAGCCCTCCCCCACTGTTGCTTCGGCGTGCCAGGCTCATGCCACGCCTTTGCCTCTGCCTGCAGCAGCTGCTGCTGCTGAGCCTGCGGATTCGGCCTGTGCTGCTGCTGCAGCTGCTGCTGCGGCTGCTGCTGCTTCTGCACGACCTCATGGGGTTGCACCAGAGCAAAGCACGTGGTGGACTCTTTGCCTCCGCTGCCCGCTTCCCAGGAAGAGCACCGGGAGAGAGGAGACCCCAGGGACAGGGACTGACGAGAGAGGGACGGGCTGCGGGGAGGCAGGAAGCGAGGCGAGCAGGCTTCAGCGACTGGTGAGTGCAGCTCTTTCTTCTCCTTCTTCAGAGACGCTTCCTGCTTCTGCTGGCGCATCTGGTCCAGGCACAGGCGAGCCAGATGCTGGTGGGGGAGGTTGTGCTGGTACAGGGGCTGCTCAGGTAGGTGAATCTGAGGTAGATTCTGCTGAGGTGGGTGCTGCTGGGATGGATTCTGCTGGGATCGGTTTTTCTGGGATGGGTTTTGCTGGGACGGGTTTTGCTGGGACGGGTTTTGCTGGGACGGGTTTTGCTGGGACGGGTTTTGCTGGGACGGGTTCTGCTGGGACGGGTGCTGCTGGGACGGGTGCTGCTGGGACGGGTGCTGCAGGTGCAGATATTGCTGATGCATGTGCTGCTGGATGAAAAACTCCTCGTCACTGGTAGTGCTCGCCTCGGAAGTGTGGGAACCGCCGACCTGCTGCTGCTGCTGCTGCTGCTGCAGGTGCACATGATACCGCAGGGACGAGTCCAGAGCAGTGCGGGTGCTTGCCTGGGGAATGTGGGAAGCATCCACCTGCTGCTGCAGGAGCACGTGATAGTGATGCTGCAGAGACGAGTCCAGAGCAAAAGGGGGCGTTTCCTCGGGCGTGGGAGCAACGCAGCGCAGGTCAAGAGACGCAAGGCTGGGAGGGCTGATGCGACCGGGGCGGGGGGAGCACGGGGAGGGGCAGGAGGAGGTGGGTATGATGGTAGGAGACGAGATGCCCTGCGCGTGCTCATGCCCCAGAGAGTGATGATGCACATTCGGTCCATGCGCGTGCTGCTCATGATGCTCATGGTGATGCCCATGCTCATGAAGCGCACGATCGGGAGGCACCAGTAACGGCGAGCGCGGTCGCTTGCCACTGGTCCGCGCAGACTGCATGATGAGGGGCGCAGCCGGGTGATCAGGTGCGGGCGGTGGCGAATCCACAGCAACCATTGGTTCTGCCGGCAGAGACTCTGCCGGGGCTGCCTCCGCCGTCAGCGGTTGTGGCGGCAGCGGTTGTGGCAGCAGTGAGGAGTCCGTGAACACGGCATTCACTGGATGCAGGAGCGAGCGGTCTAGCGAAGAAGCCCTGGAGGCACTCCGCTTCAATGCGGTTTCCAATGCTGCTTCCTCTGGCAGACTCAGCGCGCTCACACCGCTGCTACTGCTGCGCGCCAAGCCACCTTGGGCTGCTGGCTGTGCCCGCAGAGCGTCTGCAAGCATGGCATCGAGCAGCAGCGAGTCGTCCAGGGCGGAACCCTTGGAAGGGCTGCGACTCAATGCTTCTTCCAGCACGCCCACCTCGCCACTAGTAGCAGTACCACTCGCATAGGCACCTTCAAGCATCGCCTCTGCGCATGTGGACGCAGAAACGGCCTGTGGGGGCGTGTCAGCGACGCGTGTGTTTGGGTTTAACAGGCCTGGGTGGAGCAGGCGAGCCTGCAGCTCGCAGATCTTGTCCTGTAGCGCGCTGATCTCCGCCGCTATGTTGTCATTCTCGTCCACAAACACATCCAGTGCTGTTGCACTCATTGTTGCCGCCATCGTACTCATTGATGCGGCCATGGCTGCTGCTGCATCCCCTGACGCTGCGCATTCAGACTCTCCTGAGACGGAGAGAGGGCCCCAGGGAAGCGCGTGAGAAATGGACGGTGCTGGGGGAGGGTATGGAGTTTGTCCAGCGCTGGATCTAGGCGTCTGAAGGCCGTCACGTGGGAGACGCAAGTCGCAGATGAGCGGAGGCACGGCTGTGTCATCATCAATACCAACGCCGGCCATCTGATTCAGAAGAACGTCCGGTCGAACCGCCATGGCTGCTGCTGTGCCCGTTGCTCCTACTAACGGCCTCCTCCCTCCTCTGTCTTTGTTCTCTTTAGCCTTCTCCAGTCTTCAATTTTGTCAGCTGCCCTGGCCCCTCGTGCCACACGGTGCTGATGAGGGAGCTGGTAGCCCAAGGGAGTCAAGGGCCTTGAATCCGTGCAGAAACAATGAGAAACTCACGCCTTGTGGGGGAGATGCTATGCGGAACAGAAGGGCACAGCAGGAGGGGTGGAGGGCGAATGCTGCGGCTGTCTCAAAAAACCCGGAGCGTCCAGGAGACTAGGCTAAAACTTTAATTCCCGTGATGTGATGACACGAGTCTTGAAGGGGAAAAACGCAGGAATTCACAATTAGAGGGATGCAGCCTCAGCCGCAAATGCATGCATCCTGGACAAGAATTGAGACTCCCAATTCTGATCAAAGACTGAGAAGAACAAAGGTAGGGAAATGTCGGAACCAGCGATTTGACCACAGCAGAAGCAGCTACATACCACCAACAGGTGACTGGGATCGGAGAAAAGTATCAGCAGATGAGAAGCTCCGTGGCAGCAGCAGGGCAGGACAAAAGACGCTTCCGGGTCTTCATCCATTGCTTTTGGATTGCACATCACAACTTGTTTTGTTGCGAGATGCCTCCACAACAATTCTTGGTTCCTCTGGTGTACTGTGTGCTCTGCACTTTTTCAAAAGATTCTTTTACCACTTTGTGGACGCGGAGAATAGGGACACAGAAGGACAGATGCTGTGTGGGAGCATCAACGACGCTCAGCCCCTTGTGAACAGGTGTATTGTTGGCATACGGGACCCCTCGCCGAATTCTGTAACGTTGTCGACGCAGCAAAAGGCGGCGTGATGCCTTTTTGCCGCAACCATACGTTAGCGCGGCTTGATCAAACCTCCTGATCCTGGAATTCATCAAATCTCACCCGGTCTGTGCCTCCTCCAGGCCTCGGCTTGGGGGACTCGGAGATGATCTCATCTCACGGATCATCTCAGGCTCCTCAAAAGTGAGTCAGAATGGATTAACGGCGAGGATGGACGGAATGGAATTAGAGAAGCATCTGAAATCGAATCGTCCTGCCTACTACTGTAGCCGAAGAACCCTGGGTAAGGTCAAGCAACTGTGCTGGCCACGCTGGAAAGGACAAGCGAGCAAGAGGCGAAGGCCTCGATCCGCCATGAAACCAGGGTGACAGAGTGACAGGAGAATGCGGTACGTAGGATCTGCCACGAGGCGCGCTGTGATTGGAAAAGCGTTGCTTGATTCTCTGAACTGGACTAGAGTGATGCCACCATATTCGCTGCACCAGAAGCAAGATTCCTTTGCATTTGGATTGACCTCATAAGGGCTGATCAGCTACAACGTAAGCAGAAATTGGGTCGGAGTCGCAACCGTGTATAAATCACAGATAAATCAAATTCCCAACTAAGTTCAAGGAAGTAAAATCCCACATTTAATCGACGTACAACAATCATCGTGCCTCATAAATGCTTACCCAGCCCATGCGTTGTTTTTCGTGATGTGATCTGGTCTAACCCTGCTAGTACGATACGTGGATTTTGTGTGTTCTTTTAGCATCTCACCTGAATGAAGGATAGTTCTAATGAAAGAGATGTTATGCCCTCGTTTAGTAACTGTTTTTATTCCCGATTATGGCTCTGACCCCACCATTTTGCGCCACGGTTTTGCCGCCAAATCTCGTCCGCGGTGTCAGAGGTGCCGCCTCTGCAGCCCCTCCGTGGACAATTCGTTTGGCTGCTCATTCTCAATCGAACACCTCTCTCTCCCCTTCCCCCCCCCAACCCATCCCAGCCGACAACTCCCTGCTTTTCCAGACTCTCGCTTGCTGGCCCTGCCTTCCCAGTCCCATTGTCGGCCCAGCTTTCAATTGTCAAGACGAGTAGAGGTTAATCCGCTTTTTTAGCTGGTAGAAAGTAATCCGCCGAGCGACAATAGCACGCAGATTTTCCGGTAGAATATTCTTCTTTCCGCCTTATCTGGGCCAATTGACCCTTCTGTAACGCTCCACCGCGTGTACTAATTTGAGTCGCGATTCGTCTGTTCTGGTTCAATATTTAGCCATAATACGGATACAAAATGCGGTCCAGTCGAGGACAGAACAGCTTAGTACGATCTGCAAGCCAAGGTAGCTGCGCAGTTCACCCAGGTCTGTGCACGTGTGTCTCTTCTGCAGCTCGGACTTCACGTAGGCAAGTCCAGCAGTGTCAGCTGTAGCAAAGACCAAGTCGTCGACGTACACGAGGATGTAGAACGGCGGCAAAGAAGAGTCGGTGCGCAGAAACAGCGACGGGTCGGCAGTAGAAGGAGCAAACCCAAGAGCCGCAAGTGTCGTCCTCAGTGTGTCGTACCACTCACGAGGCGCCTGGCGGAGACCGTAGACTGGCCGCCGGAGGCTCCACTGGGTGCCAGGAGGAAAAGTCCCAGTGAAGCCAGGTGGGCGGCGCAGCCAGATCTCCTCGTGCAGGCTGCCCTGCAAAAAAGCAGTGCTGAAGTCAAGAGAGTGCAGCTCGTAGTCTCGGTAAGCGGCTATGTGCAGCAGTACCCGAAGAGTGGTCATCTTCGGGGTGGGAGAGAAGGTCTGAAAGTAGTCAACTCCCTGCCGCTGACTGAAGCCACGAGCCACGTAACGCGCCTTGAAGACAGGCGGAGAACCCGGCGGCCGCTTCACCCTGAAAATCCACATGCCACTGACGATGTTCGCCCCAGGCGGGGGAACCTCGTCAACGTAGGTGCTTGTGGACTTCCAGGAGGCCATCTCTGCGTCCATGGCTACCTGCCACTGAGAGGAGTAGGGACCCTCTATCGCCTCCGCGTAAGAGCGCGGAGTCGGGATGTCAAGTGCATCCGGGTCTCCCTCAGGGGCAAGCAGCATGGACACGAGATGAGGTGAAGCAGCAGCCAAGCACTGGAACTCCTCCTGCCTGTCCTCAAGGACGTCCGTGCCAAGAGCACACTCACCCCCGACGGACGGAGGACAGACAGACTCAGACTCAGTGACGAGACTGGTAGCGTAGTCAAGGCGACAGCGAGCAGCGAAGTCGACAAGCTCAGCAACCAGAGCAGACGCAGCAGTAGACTCAAAGGAAGGGTCAGTGACGACAGTAGCAAGGAGACGCGTGACAGTAGGACGCGCAGCACGAAGGGAGTCCGACTCAGGGTCAGGAAGGTCAGGAAGAGAGGACGCGGGAGGAGAAGGCAAAGGGGCACGCAGGGGAGCAGTGGAAGGACGCAGAGACATCCGGTGCGTGCCGGGAACAGCACGGACGCGAACCACGACCACTAGCGCGAGCAGCACGGACAGGCGACGCAGGGCGAGACGCAGGCTCACGACGCTCAGCAAGACCTCCAGTAGGACCAGTGTAGGGAGAGGGAGAAGGAAGCGGGGAGGCCGGCGGTAACTGTGACTCGGACTGGACAGGAGGCGGACACGCTAAGGGAGGAGCAGGACCAAGAGAGGACGGAAGACCAAGAACCTGCTCAAGGAGCGGAACGAAGTACGGCCGCGGCCGCGCAGCGCCACCAGTGCCAGCAGGAACAGCACCAGTACCCCCAACGGGAGCACCAGCACCAGGAGGACCTCCAGCCCCAGCAGCGCCAACTCCAGCACCCGCAGCAGCACCAGCGCCAGCAGCACCTCCAGCGCCAACACCCCCAGTAGCCCCAGCTCCAGTCGGACCACCCGAAGACTCAGCAGCTCCAACTCCAGGAGCACCAGCAGAACCAATGCCAGTAGCACCAGTAGCACCACCAGCTCCAGCAGGAGGAGCACCCGCAGGCTCCTCACTCCGAGACTCAGCGGCTCAGCGGCTCGGCAGCTCGGCAGCTCAGCGGCGGCGGCGTCTCGGCGGCTCGGCAGCACGGCGGCAGTGGCGGCTCGGCAGCCCGGCAGCCCAGCGGCAAAGGCGGCTCGGCGGCTCGGCTGCGGCAGTGTCTCGGCTGCTCGGCGGGGCCGCGAAGGCGTGGCGACAGGGCCGCAAAGGGCGGCGGTGGGGTCGCACGGGTGGGGCGACGGGGTCGCGGGCGGCTGCGACGACAGGGGCCGCGAGCGGCTGCGACGACGGGAGCGCAGGCGGCTGTGGCGACGAGGTCGCGGGCGGATGCGACTGCAGGGTCGCGGGCGGCAGCGACGGTAGGGTTGCGGGCGGCTGTGGCGACAGGGTCGCAGGCGGCTGCGACGCCAGGGTCACGGGCGGCCGCAGCGGAAGGGTCGCGGGCGGCCGCGGCGACGAGGTCGCGGGCGGCGCGCAGAGCGATGGGGCCGCGACGGGCGGCGTTGGGGTCGCGGGCGGCTGTAACGACGCCGCGCAGGGCGACGCGAGGGTGGGGCCGCGGGGTCGCGAGGGTAGGGCCGCGGGGCCAGCAGAGGCGGCGCCGGGGCCTAAAGGGCGGCGCGACGGGGCCGCTAAGAGAGGCGAGGGGGGAGGGGGGGGGGGGGCGCGACTCGGGCAGGGGCCGAGCGCGCTCCGGGCAGGAAAAAAAAAGCTACGGTGGGCCCTAGGAACAGTTCCCACGAGGGAACCTGCTCTATACCATGTGAAAGATAGAACGAGAATGGTGTGACTAACATCAATGGGAGTACAAATATGAAACCCTAGAGTTCTGTACCCCCTAAGGCTAAACCCACTGTAGCCTACAAAGCTACAACATGCATAATGTTTGACAGGAGGTCCCTGACCAATCGATCTCGCTTCACTCCCAGACACTTTCCAGCATAATTGCGGGTCCGCGAACTCACAAATGACGTCTTTACGTTGAAGAAAAAAACCTCGTTTCGGACGTTTGTAGCCGCGAGAAGCGAAAACAGCCGCACCTGTGCAGATCATGGAGCAGACAATTTTCCGTCGTGGAGGTCCCTGACCAATCGCTCTCGCTTCACTCCCAGGCACTTTCCAGCATAATTATGGGTCAGCGAACTCACAAATGACGTCTTTCCATTGAAGGAAAAACCTCGTTTCAGAAGTTTGTAGCC